ATGCATACATACATACATACATATATACGTACACACATACATACATACATACATTCATACCTACCTACCTGCCTATATATAAATATATATATATATGTATGTATGCATGTATATATGTATGTATGTATGTATGTATTTATGTATATATATCTACATATATATATATATATATATATATTTATATATATATATATATATATATTTAGACTATATCTACACATATGACATGTTTGTCTCATGGAAGTGGTATTTGTATTTGCACAGAGCTCTGATCGAAACGAAGAAGGCCATTGGTCTGTTGCTAGGCAACGACATTGCACATGCAAGAGACCTGCTTGAAAAGAAAGCCGAGACAAGCATGTATCATTCACTCGGTTATTCGACCATTCTATTTATGGAGGCTGTCATGACATGGGAGTTGGAGAATGTGGAAGTGGTATGTTCACAGGTCACCTCACAAATATTCAGATCATTCAGTGTTGCGCACAATCACGCGGATACCTCGTTGTTATGTATATGACCACTTTAGTATATATAATGCCATCCACTTGTATCTTAAGCATTATGTAATGTACATTTAACTTGATAATTCACTCAAACACTTCGACCGAGACATGTGTAAACACTCAAGCACCTTTCCTCGTGATTGCTCATCTAGATACGGATGCGGCCATTTTCAACCAGCACACGCACACGTGTTCGTTTGCTAAGTGCAAGCACTGATCGTCGTGCGGGCGCACAGTTTCAAAGAGTAGTCCTGTGTGACCAGCGATAGCATGACTTGACAATCTTTCTTTGTTCTGCGGAACTGTGCGGTGAGAAGCCTGCGGGGCGGTGTGTATTGAAGGGACTAGAATGCTGTGTCTGAAGAAAACAAAGAGAGTTCTGGCTAAATGAATGGGCAGATGACACATGAAACACACATCGTCGTGTCAAATGCGCTTGCAGCCGTTTGGGATAGTCTCTCTTGCGAGCTGTAGTGTGGGAAGCACGCCTATGATTACACTCAGCGAATGAAATACACTCGCGTTTGACTGAGACTCAGGACAGCGTCGCACCCACAGTATCCAGCCGCCTGCTCGTCTCGTGCTGAGTATGAGGATGCGATACAACGTTCTGACTTATTGCTAATTACCTACCTATATACCTACCTCCGCAGGCAAATGCTGCACTGAAGCACAGCTGTACACTGTCCAAGAATCGGCAGAAGAAAATCAACAGTTTCACATCGCTGGTATGTGAGAACCTGATATATGGCCAGAGGGTTTAGGGTTTCTAGGGTTCACTAACCACAAAACATTATAAACCTAGTGTTGTACGCATGCGCACCATGTCCATGCATCTGTCAACACTACCTATCATGGATTGTGCAACGATCTAGGTTTTCTTACGCACGCCTTGTGGGTTTTGCATGTAGCCCAGATAGTCACGGCTTCGTATGTGCTGTATGGTTGAAACAGGTGTGCAGGCAGAGATCATGTCCGTGGCGTGTGTAGTAAGTAGTCTACATCTTTTATACCTGTGTATGTGTGAACTAAGTTTGTAAGTGTGAACTAAGTTTGTAAGTGTGAACTAAGTTGAAGCTCTATCAACTGCGATCAATGCAAATCAGAAGATGAACCGCCTGGGTGTTAAGTTCGACGGCTCGTGTTTTTATATTTCGGACACTATTGTATTGCCAAAAGCGCTTAATCCCGTCCTCGTTAATTGGCCATGCTCAGCTAGGAGGACCGCAGTTCTCGGCCATGACCAATGCGGAGATGCACGCCGAAGTGTGCCACGCAGAGAGCTTGCTGCTCAGAGCCATGGCCACATTCGTTGAGGATGAGTCATTCATCGCCTTTGTTAAAGGCACGTGTTAATATAGTATCGTGTGGTTGTGGTTGTAGGACGGGCGGTGTGTGTTTCTCACGCGTGCTTGGTACCCAGTTGTGTTGGTAATAGATTCAGTGCTCTATGTTTGACACTCGCAACGGTGTGCACAGTACACGTTTATTTCAATCTACCGATAACCACAGATATTACAAAACGTATCCGTCATGCCAGTCCATGCACACAATTCATGCACCAGGCTACTGAGCGTGGTGCAATCAACGGGATGTATAAACGTATTGACTCTTACCGTACGCATTGATACAGGCGGCTTGAAGGTCAAGGAGTGCCACGGAGTGTACAAAGGCTGTTACCAATTTCTAGAGAAGTCCGCTCGATCATCGCAGGTGAGCATCTAATACAGAGCGGAGTAGATCCCAAAGCATTTTTTAGTTGTATCCCAGATCCAATGCTTCTAGTTTGAAAGGATATAGATGTGTGTGATCGTCAGGGTCTAAGTCCACTTTGCGATCATGACCTTCTTTCTTATTTCTACTACCGTGCCTTGTTATGGCTGTAGTTGTGCTAAATACTGCGTTTGTAGGTTTTAGGGGGTTCGTTTCTACTTCCGTGCCTTGTTAACCATGTAGTTGTGCTGAATAATTCCTATTTATCGCATTCATCGCCTACTTGATACACCAAGTCGTCGGATAAACCGGAGAAGGCGGACGGATCTAAAATGGGCAAATTGAGCGCCAAGATGTCCAGCAAATTGAAGATCTCCAAAGATGGCAAGGACAAGAGTAACTTAAAGAAGAAACCGTCGCAAACCGATATGGCCGAGGCGGTGCTAGAAGACCTGCACGAAGAGTTTGTGTCTGGCGTGCGCATGGGCTATGGATTGTTCAATCTGGTGAGTAGTTGTGTATACTGATGGGCTAGGCTGTGGCTACGGTTGTGCGTTGTAAGGGTTTGGAAGGCTGTGACTGCGTTGCCTTTCACCATAGTAGTATGTTGTATGGTCATTGGTAGTGACTACAGTGTCTGTGGCCAATGCAATGTGATATATGGTCTGGGCCACCCGTCGAGTAGTTTCGTATGTAATGTTGGGCTCGGTGTCGCGTATCCTAAGGGTTTTAATTGGGATCAATAATGGTGTGGGTGTACAAAACAGAGATGGGTTATTTCGAGAGTTGTGTCCGATCACCCAACCCTATACCTTAAACTCTAAAAAGCCGATCAGCTCGGGAGGTGACTTCCATGACTCATCCCGCAACACATCAATCGAATATATATATATATATATATATATATATGTATGTATGTATGTATGTATGTATGTATGTATGTATGTATGTAGGTATGTATGTATGTATGTATGTATAGAAT